CCCCCCTATATATATATATATATATATATATATATATATATATAGATGTATATATATATATTATCATATTTGTATTGTGATTCTGATCTTAATGCGTAAGCTGATTTGATCACTCATCTTTTGATCTATAATTTTGAATCTTGTTGGAAAACATTTTCTAAACTTAGTTTGAATCATTTAACCTAATAATGACTTGTGCTAGGAATAGATTTAGATTTGTTAGCCATTTACATCCTTATGCTTAATGTAATGATTTAATTTGGATCATTTAAGAATCATGTTTCAAGGTTTAATCCTTAGAGATTCAAGTTTGAGGAATCAGTTTAAGTAACTATATGAATGTGGGAATATAAAAACTTGAATTCATATAGAAGATTCATCGGAAAACATAAGTGTTGTAAAAGTACATTTAACCCCAAATTTCTTGCATAAGAATCATTTCTTGAATCAATAGTGTTAAACATCTGATTTACAATTTATCTTATTTACATATTTGCTCAATATATTTGTATATGGATGTTTATACAAATTAAATTAGGAAGAAAATTACATAAAATTTCCAAATCCAGGAGAACGATATCTTAAATTATTACAGGAAATTTGATCTACTTGCCAAGTGTAAAAAATCTTTCACCACTTGCTTTATTGATAATTTGAGTGTTTGTAAATCATACTTGTCTCAAATCACAATTCGGATTTGAGAAGGGGCAAATTTAAATATGACAAAAACTCTGGTTGCATGAAAGATGGAGATTTGCCCGTGTAAGTCAAGACATTTGTGAGATCTTAAAAGTGCTTTACTTCTAAAAAAAAATGCACATAATTTTTCATGTCCATTTAAATCATGCAATTATAATTATAGTGCAATTTATTAGGTCAACCTTAAGACGATTAAAACCTTGTTACACTTGGTGAAACTACATTTTTAAGTTACCTTTTTAATTACCTTTTTAAATTAATAAAAATTAATTTTTAAATATGTTACAAATAAAAAACAAATTAGAGGGTCGTAGTCCCCTTTAAAGTATGTTTAACTTCACCTAATTTGAAACTCAAGATATCTCTTTCTTTTTGAGTTAACAAACGTGAATATATCATTATTTAATTTAATATTTTCTATAATTAATATTATTAAATGCTTTTAAATTTCTTTTTCTTTTCTATTTTTTTAAATTTCTATTTTACATTTTAATTTTTCTTATCTTATATCTTATCTTTTTATACTTTTAAATCAATTTATTTCAAATTTTATTTTATATTAAAATGCGTCTCTTCTTAATACTTAAACATTTATATTTATTTATAAAAAAAGTTTAGTTCAATTGATTAAATGCAGTACGTGAGTTACTTTAAAGTCATTGATATCAACTTTGATTTTCATGAATAAAAAATTCAATTGTATTTATTTCAATTAGTTATATATATATATATATATATATATATATAAATAATACACATACAATACACATGATATTCTACTAGAACGATACATAAATTACGTACCTTCTCAAAGTGCGTTACTTCTGGCATGATGAATTTTCTAAAATTGTAGCATTTGATATCGGAGTAAGCCACTTAGCAATGGTGTATATCCCTATCCAATTATTATCTTAGAGGCTACTAGCTAGGATCAATGCAAATAGTAAATATCTTATTCCTGTTGTTGAGCTTCATAATTGGCCATTAACGGAATATTTATGGTTGTACTCTGACTGTTGTCTAAGAATCTAATGCTTTTAGGCTTACATGCTTTCAACTAATCATGTAATTAGATGATGTCGGATAAATTGTTCATGTGCGATAATAAGTTTCACTTAAAAATTTCGCTTAAGCATATTTACATTTTCTTTTAGGAAAATCAAGGGTTTATTATTAATTTTTTATTCTTTGTCATTGCATTTCCTATTTTCAAATATATTTTTATCATAAATAGTTAAAATGGCAAAAATCTTGTTTTTGATCTGTCTTATAGAAATCTTTTCTCATAAAAAATACAACTCTTTAAAATGAAGAATCAAAGAAAAATAAAATGATATTTTTATAACTATTTAAAAACAAGAAAAAAATAGAAAACGTTTCCTTAAATTAAACTGGTTTATTTGATCCTGTTTAATTTGTATTTCCACACACAGATAGAGGGTGGTTTAGAGATAATTGTAAGGAACTTCTTTACAATATTATTAATATTATCTCTTTTACAATTATCAATTTTAATTTTAGTTATTAATTATTTTGATTTATAATTTAAAAGTTATAATTTACTCATCTCATCTCTTATATTAAAACATGTTTTCATTGGATATGTTTTCTCTCTCTATATGCATATTTTAACATTTATGCATACCTAATTTTTCCTATATGTATTGTGTGTATAACTTTACAAATACTGTTTGCAACTATAATATGTAAAATATTATGAAATTGATTAGGATGTAGTCATAATTAATTGAATTCCAAAAATTACAATACGTGTACAATATATGGAAAGGATTTTTCTTAAAAAAATGTCAATAGCTCAGGCTATGAACTTATAACAAATTTTACCATCAGCGGTTCCGATCATAAGAAACTGCAAACTATATGCATATTTTTGTCATGAGTCAAAAGGAAACAACAATAAACAATTTCTACAAGGAATCACATCGCGTACATATATATATACTTAAGCAACTTTAATTTGTTTGCTATTCTTAACTACTGAGATTATAATTGGATAATAAAATTTGGTAAGTACTTTTAATGTTGTTTTTTAAATTAGAATTAGAGTTTTATTCGGATAATTAATCTACCTATTAAATATTTACATGTACCTAAGAAATCAATATATTTCACCTTCGTTATCATTTCATTTTTTTACAATATAGTTCAAACCTCTTTACACACAGAAACGCAGAACAACTAACAATACTCTTATCTAATATAGTGCATGTAGATTACTGAGTTAATCCTAGAGTAGTGTCAGTTAAAAGCATACTTGCAATGAATATATATATATATCATACTGAATGTAAGGAAAGGACTAAAAGTAACCCAAGATTATGCGGGTGGATAATGTATACTGAATTAATACACTACTAACTAACTATTTTTCTTACATTAGCTATATGTCGCCAAAAAAAAAAAATGTTGCCACTGCAGAGAGATCTTACGGTTATGCTGAATCATAAATTAAATGAGAAAAGTTGAGACAGTTGATAGTTCTATAGTAGAGTTATGATTTTTAGACACTCCCTATTTTTAAACACTGGTACCCTATTTTTACCATTAATTTCTTTTATTATCTACCTCTTCATATGTAACATTATATCACCTATCATATATATTTATATTTATTTCTCTTTTATCTCTTTCGTTTGGTGTCCAATAGCATCTCAAGTGACTAAATATATTTTTCCATCACAGAAAATGAAAGTTTAGCATTTCTCGAGCCACTAATAGTGAAGAAACTCGTTAAACTGAATACTCCAAAAAGATATCAAATTACTTACGTTACGAATATGTTGACATGTTTTAAAAATAGATGCAAAATGGAAACTCACTTTTTCAGAAACTAATTAAAGCGAAACAAAATTACAAATGTTATATTTAGCATGATTGACAATGTCAGAATTTAAAATTGTTGATATATATCGTCTGCTAGCATTCTAAACTATACATTTGATAAATAGATTAATTCTATATATAGATACAGGCCAGGAAATTAATTGCTTTGTTCTTATCGACGATTACTAAGGGGTTGAAGATGGCAAGGCTAGTTCTCTTTGTTCTAATCGATAATAAAATCTTGTCAGAAATGGAAACAAAATACATTTATTCTGAGGTTGACATCATATGATATATCTACATATTTTCTTTCCTTTGGCAAGCTCATATTCATTGAAAGCATAATCTACATACATCAAGCAAGGGCAAGCTGCATACATATTAATTGTTGCTTCTACTTTAATTTTGGTGTACTTGAGTCGAATAAGAATTGATTAGATTAATAGGGTTTGAGGCAATACTTGGATTGCGGTGCAAGACTCAAAATTGTACCCAAAATAAACGAATCAAAAGCAGTAATCATGTCATGTCCAGTAAATTTTACAACCAACATATGAAATACAAAACAATGCTCATAATTAATTTTAAATCAAACAGTATATGAACTCTCTTCGCAAAGAAAAAAAAGGGGTTTCATGAACATCTACAAATAATTACGTATTGAGGATTGAACTCAAAAAAAATTTCTTGTACCCGTTTCTGATGGATCCTGTGGTTCAGGTCCTAGTCTCAGTTCAAGGTCTAACTCCTCCGATGAAGAATCTTGTCTAGGTAACAAAGTCTGTTCAGTAGTAGTTTGACCTAGTGGCGAATTTTGCGTTTCACTGCTAGTTGGTGATTCTGCAAAGAGTGGAAGCTGCTTCGTGTGAATGGCTCTGGAGGAGGCGTGTTCTTGTTGAGATGACACATTCCAATTCCAATTTGCTTCACCAGACATGGCTTGATCCTGCGGAATGACCTTGTCCAAAGATGGTTCAGTTTGGTTTGAAATTGAAGATTGTTGTTGTTGTTGCTGCTGCTGTTTGAGCTTGGCTTTGTCTTTTCTGTGGATGTTCATGTGTCCCCCTAGTGCTTGTGCATTAGAGAACCCCCTCCTGCAGAAGTTGCACTCATAGGACCTTGATGTCACGTGACTTGCACCTTGATCCTCACCCTCAGTGGAATTTTCTGATGGTGCAGCTTGATGATTAAGATCAGACTCCATTTGATGAGTTTCAACTTTTTTCAAGATGTAGAAATATGAAGTAACATAGACAGGAATAGAGATGGTCAACAAAGGCAGATAGGGGTGGTTTTATATGCTGAATGGGAGCACAAACAAATCACAAGTTATGACTCTGGTTAAAATTAAAAAAGTTTAACTCAGTTGGTTAAGCATTCTGCATGAGTAGTTTAATATTGTATTTGATTCGTATTTATTAAAAAACATAGATATAGATATTAATTAGAGATTATGCGGTTTAGGATTATTCGATAATTTCTCTATAATAATTTCTATATATGGCCTGCTGCTTTCATGTTCACATTATTTTATGCAAGTGCCATGTAATGAGAATGTAGCTTCCTGGATGTTTTACAGCTTGAGTGGTAGCAAAGGACAAAATAACTTCAGGCTTGAAATACTACTGAGTCAAATATTGTATGTGGACAACTTTTGTGTTTTGGCTTGTGGCTTCGGCCTACGTTTGATTCAAATGTTGTCTCGCATAAACTCACAATGTTACTATCAACACAAGTTTTTATATAAATATATACTATATGTATTTAACTATATATAATTTCGTGTAACTATTATTATATTGCTTTGTGTTCTCTACAAAGCTTGCTTTCTAAGTTGTTTCTAGCCAGTTATATTATATATATATATATACACACTTATTTGAGTTTAAGTATGGCAGTATATGAAATAATTATATATTATTAATTAATTACATATTACAATATTTATCTATTATAAAAATTAATAACTTATTGTAAATAATGGTTTGTAATAGGGATGGCAATGGAACCTCACGGGGGCGGGTAATAGTAAACCCGTTCCCGCCCCGCCATATTCACGTGGATATCCATTAAACGGGTATTCATGAATTTCTCGAATACTTACGGATATCCATAGATATTTATAATTTTTAAAAAAAAATTATATTACAAATAATTTTAAGTTTATATTTAATATCATTGAAATATTAAAAATGAAAGTTCAATGTTAAGTTTAAACTTGTATTTAGCGTTAATTTTATTGAAATAATAATAAAAATGCAAGATAAACAATAACTTAAAATACACCAATCTCACACAAGTAAGTGAAAGTCTCATATCATAAAGCTACAATAATTCAATCTCATAATTCCAAACGAAAGTAAACAATTTAAAATACATAAATCTTATTGGTTCAATAATCAAAGTTAGAAAATTAATCAAATTACATCCAACATAATTCTATGGAAAGAAAATAAGATGAGAGAGTGTAGTTTTAGGATTATGTGGTACAAAGATAATTAGGATATTTAAGAAATATTATTAAACGGGTACCACGGGTATGAATATCATCATACCCGCCCCCGCCCTGTTTATAAACGGGTAAAAAGTTATTATCCGTCTCCGTTATCGGCAGGTATTCAATTAACTGATCTATTTATTATCCGTAGCAGATTTTACCCACAAATACCCGCGAGTGCGAGTATTTTTCCCATTCCTAGTTTGTAATTAGGCAATAGTGTGTAAGACTAGTACATCACCTATTTTCTTTTAGAAATCATTATGTTTGGATAATAAAACATGTAAAAAGTGATTTTATTTGTTTGATTTTGCTGGCTACTAAACATAAAATCATTTTCTGCGATGTGTTTGTAAGGATTTGAAAGAGCTGAGTCGTGTATATTACTACTTTAAAGTAAATTTTCTTATGTAGTTGATATTGTAAAGATTTTTTTTTTCTTCCAGAAAAGAAGTAATGATTTTCGTATTCGGATTGTAAGAAAAAATAATTATTCAGAAAAATCATCTTTAAAATAGGTTGTTAACGACTGAAAAACCAGTTTATAATTAAATTTTTGTTATAGACTAAATTATGGGTTTCTAATTACATTTACATTTATATTAGAGACCGTAAAAAAACTCTGAAAAGGTTAATTAGCAATTATAAACGTATGTTCTAATTATATTTTAAATAGATCAAAATTTGAGTTTATAAATAAATAACGAAAAACCATTTTCTAATTTCATTTCAATTAGACACAAAATAGTTCATAAACTTTGACTGTTAGAGACCGATTTATTAGAGACTACAAATATGGTCTCTAAATCCATATCTAAATTAAACTCTTTAGTGACAGAACGTATTCGGTCTCTAAATCTGTCTGTTGAATAAATAGAGTTTGGATTGTAAAAATTTTATAATCTAAAGCATGAGTAAGTATTTATTTTAAAATGAAATGATGTTAGCTGATATTAATTATATATATATATATATATATATATTGAGTTTACACAAATAGTATAAGATACAAATGGTATTTACTACATATATCTACTAAAAAAATTTTTAAGGTAAAATGTCTCATATGAGCTTTTATTAACTTTGAACTTTAGCAAGTAAAGTCTTATATATGTCAAACTATGCCCAACTTAACTTTGGCTAACCTCTTAATGGATAATGATATTTGGTTTGAAGATCTCCAATATATCATTGAATCAAATTGAACAGTGTTAAGTTTCGATTAACCACTAAATGATAGTACGTGATACTTGATTTGAGAATTTTCAACATGTCATTAACTCCACCTAGTAATTATGAAGTGTCATCTTTTATCTACCATTATTATGGATTAAAAAAACATATGCATGCTTTTGAAACTTATCTACCATTATTGTTTTTTTTAAATGTGGATGGTTTTAAAACCATTAACCCTCTAAATTTTTTCTAACCATAAAGCATGAATCAAGAAAGCTAAAACAAAGATGACAAATGTAGGAGTGTTCATGAATTACATTTTTAAAAAATTCAAATCAAATCGAAACGATCCATTTTATAAAACTAGATCAATTAATCAAATCATTTTTTTTATAATGTAAATTGGTTTGATTTTTAAAAATATAAATTATATTTTTTTTAAAATTTGATTGGTGTGGTGTGGTTCGGTTATTTATTTTATACTTATATATGAATTTATTTTTAAAAAATATCAAATTAAACCAAATGGATCTATTTTATAAAAAATAGATCAGATAATTGAACCGATTTTACAAAATGGGTAAGTTTGAATTTTTTCTTAAAATGAATCATACTTTTTAATATGGATCAATTTGGTTG